AACGACAAGGTATGAATCTTTAATTATTTCATTGTTTATTGAAAAATAAAATTAACTTAAATTATGCCTTCCCAAGTTTTAATCACATCAAAAAAAATTTAATAAAAAAATTTTATTTGAGAACGAGAAATAAAAATGAATGTAATCTTAATATATATATATTTTGCAAAATAACGTAAACAAAAAAAAATCTAAAAAGTATGTTTAATTAGTAGTTAAAAAAAAAAAAATAGTTGTTGAATGTAATTTTAATATTGACTGGAAATTAAAAATAATAACAAAAAGGTAATTTACAAGTTTTAAATAAATTGTAGTTGAACTATCAAAAATAGTAAATTAGATTTTTTTTTTTAAATAAAATAAAATTTCCTCCATAGTTTTTCTTTGGCCTATGACTTTTAAGCCAACAATAAAAGTTTTGTTTTAAGAATATAAAAAATTAACTGGACTTTGTTTTGATGGATTTGTAGATCAACTCAGATTTGGAGAGATTGGAATTACAGAATGTGATGAAAATGATTAGATGGCAGAGTCAATCTAAAGTTCTTGAGATCAATCATGATAAGTTAGCAAGTATTGGACTTGGAATTCTTCATAGATTTGAAAATCTGAAAGAGCTCAAACTATATTGTTGTGAATACAAAGAAATATTCTCGTGTGAAAAGGAAGAGAAACATACTGGGAGGCCCACCCATCAGCAAATCAAGAGCCTATTTGATCTTCCAAACCTTGAAGTTCTAGATGTACGTTCCTGTCATAGATTGATGAGTCTAGTGACATCCTCAGCTTCTTTGCAGAATCTTAAAGTTTTAAGTGTAACTCAATGTAAAGAGTTGATGAAGTTAATAACACCTTCAACGGCTAGAAGCTTGGTGCAATTGAGAGACATGAGCATCTTTAATTGTGAAATGCTGATAGAAATAGTAGAAAATGAGGGAGAAGGAGATGCAACAACAACAACAACTGAAATTGTTTTTAACAATTTGAAGAAGTTGTCACTTGAAAACTTAAATAGTCTAACCTTCTTCTGCTCTGGGAATTACTCTTTCAATTTCCCATCTTTGGAAGAGTTAATTATAAAGTATTGCCCCAATATGAAGACTTTCTCTAGAGGAATTTTAAGTACACCAAAGTTACACAAAATTGATTATGAGAGGAAGGAGAAGGATTTAGAGAATAAGGGGAATGAGCTTAATACAACCATACAACAAGCACACAAAACAAAGGTATATGTATTCAAATAATTAGTTTAAACATTTATTTATCTTTCCCTTTTTTTATTTTAAAAAGTAATGTTATGTTTTTAGCGTTAATTTAAATTAATTATCTTTTAAACAATTAATGTTGACCTTGATACCACATAGTTTGTGTACAGGTTGAGCATAACATTATTATGGAACTGGATTACGTCATGCACTCTCCTATATTTTTCCTGGAAATTTCTAAAACAACTGTTTTATATTTGTAACAACCATGCTTTCATCAATTTTCTTATTCTAATTTGATTCACATGATTGATCTTTAGGTTGACTCTAATTTGATGGCATTGAGATTAAGTGAAGGGGATATCATACGGATTTGGCAAGGGGAACTTCCAAAGAATTCTGGCAAAGTAAAGACTCTTCAATTGATAAAGGATGAATCAACAAACATTCCAATTCAAATCCTTCAAAAATTTAGTCGTCTTGAAGAACTCAAACTTCAAGGTAGTTCGTACGAAGAGATATTCTCATGTAATGAGGATGAGGAACACGTTAGGACACTCACAAAATTAAAAGTTCTAGAATTGTTGGGACTTTTTAATTTAAAGTATATTTGGAAACAAGACTCTCGATTAAACTCAATTCTTCAAAATCTTTATCGTATAAATGTGCAATATTGTCACAATTTGACTACTCTGTTGCCATCTTCATCGTCTTTCGAAAATTTAAGTACTTTGAAGGTGAAGTATTGTAATGGATTTAGAAACTTATTGTCATCCTCAACAGCAAGGAGTCTAGTGCGACTAGTTGAGTTGGAAGTAGAAGAATGTGAAATGATGATGGAAGTATTAGCAAATGAGGGAGATACAGAGAACGGTACCATTGTTTTTGAGAAATTGGAGGACTTGTACATGTATGGATTAAAAAGTCTCACATGCTTCTGCTCTGGGAGTTACACCTTAAAATTCCTGAACTTGGAAAGACTAAAAATATATCGATGCTCCAAGATGAAGACTTTCTCTGAAGGAGACTTAAGCATGCCAAGGTTACAAGAGTTGAACCGTAAAGATTGTTCGAAGAGTGACCTTGATACAATCACACAACAATTACAAAATGGTAAGTATTAATTTACTTATTAACAATGTACTTTTTCTATAGACTTTTTTGCTCTCTTTCATTGAATTAATACTAGTCAATCCCCATTGTCTTATAATTGATTTTGTCTTTGATTAAAATCCTCTAAGTGAATCAATTATAGACTATCAAGTATATATAGAGAAGCAATATTACAATTTATATTTGAAAGCAGGACAAAGGGCATAAGAGCAAGTAACATTAATTAGTATATACCAAACACTATTTTTGTTCTTTAAAGTTACACTTGATTATTTGTGTTTTTGAAGTATTGAGGTGGTTGTTGAGGAAATTCCTCATCTTCTTGTTTAATTGATAAATTATCATCTATTTAGAGTCCCAAAATTAAAGCAGCATTCTCTATAGTTTCTGCTTTTACTTTTAATATGTTGTTCTCTATTCTTACAGATTGTTCAAAGTTTTGTATGGAATATAAAGGAGAAGAAGAGTGAGTTGGATAGCAAACCATTAATGTTCATCAACACACAGCAAAGTCATGTGGTAAGTTTTCCCTTGGAAGTGTGTCTAGTTGCTTCCCGAAAGAATTAATATCGGGGAATAAATTTTAAGAAATTACAAGGTTATATATAATATTTATTAAAACTTTGAGGGACTATATGAACATTCTGTTAGGATAAAATTGAAATAATATTAGCTTACAAGGGACTTTGGTGATATTATCAAACCGTGTAAATTTATATGAAGAAAATGCAGCGATGGTGATAGTAGTAGGAGATACAGAGAGTTAGGCGTCTCCTTCATTGGTGGCTAACGGCGATATGACTCCTGTCAAGTCCGCTCTAGTATCCGGCTGCCTGGCTTTAGTTTACAGTGAATTTCAAATGAGCCGTATCGACCACGTGTGTCCTCTCCCTTTCAAAATCGTCTGACGGTCCCGCCTGCTCAAACCACCGGCAGTCCAGTTCATTTTCGTCGTCTCAAATACTTATCATTAAAACTAATGGAACATGTGTGTTTATATTTGTTAATTTTTTAATTTCACAGATGAGATTGCCAAGTTGTTCCCGAATCTGTTCGCAACAATCGGCGAAATTGGTGCCAAATGATGTCGATAGGCTTCAGGCAGATCAGAAGTTGAAAATCGGCGTCATGTTTGACTGGGCTTTAGGCGACAGGCGGATACAATGTGATCTCAGGAATTTTGTGTGAGGATCTATATGATCTGTAAGTTTAAAACGTGGTTTGCTTGAAATGTTGTTTGAAAATGTGATTTTTGTGTTTCATTGATCATGAAGTGCAAATACATCGAATTGCTTCTGAATAAATCAAATTGAACCAACTGTTTCTTTTGAGTGAAATTTATAGTTTTCCAAGTATTCAAATGTGGTCAATAGGCATTAATTAATGCTTGTTAGATAAATTACATTTGATGAGATTAATTAAGTCCTTAAAAGTGTATTATCCAACAGTTTAAATTGTATTTCAATTTGTGCAGGTATAATTTGATAGTTTATTGATATGCAAAACTATTAATATACACTGTTAATAGTGTTGTTTATGTTGGATTTTTAGTGAGTTATGAGCCAATCGGAGGATTGGTGTTCATGCAGGAACTCAGTGTATGTTCAAAGCCTGTCTTACTCTTGTAGTCGTTTTCCTTTTAAAGCCTTTTGTTTTTTGATTGTTTTTCATGTTGGTCACTGCAGCTTCGTAGTGCAGAAAGCTAGAAATGGCAGTACATATTAGAGATTGATCTTATATATTCATATGTATTGTACAAATGTTTAAAGTTTTTTTCTTGGTTTTTGTTCTGCATGGTTTGGGGCTTTGATGTGTAGTGTTAGTGAAACCTTTTAGGATATGTAAAATTTAGCTTGTAAGTGTTTCTCTTGGGTATTGTTGAGAATATGCGTCCTTTATCATTGAAGATTATGGATCTTAATTAACTATTGGAACTGACTACTGTATGAATTTATTACTGTGCGAGGCTGACCATGACTAGTATTGCAGAGTTTTTGGTTGTTAAGAAACTGTAAGTTTGTGAATTGACTACTAAGTGTAGTGGGGGTGAAGATGTTCAAAGGGAGCAATGACATGCTTATAAATTTCGAATTATTGCCAACAAGTAATTTTGTGCCTCTGGTTTCTTCATTTTGGTCATACATCTCGACAGTGGCAATGAGGAGCTATGTGTAAAAATCTTTTAAAAATGACTAGAGTACAGCTGACAAAAATATGAATGGTGGAATTTTGAAAAATGATAAAGTTTTCAGGGTACACATGATTGTGAGAATGTCAAATTAAAGGGACCAATGACATGCTTGAATATGCCGCAAGTGCGTGATTCAAATTTTAATACAAAGAAGTATGTAAATCAATTAATAACTTATCTCTTATTTATCTTAGTATCAGTCTCTGCAGTTCTGGGTGCCACTTTTTTATGTTTCTTGCATGCCATCAGTCACTAAATGAAGTTTATAGTTCAAAATATTTTTGAACTTCAGCACCTTGGTCCTACATGGATTCTTTTGAACAAACCTATTTTAGTGGACGCTCAACTTTACTATATGCTTTCATAGGTGTCTGAAGTTCAAACTTCAGCTACTGATTTATTGATTTGTTTGTTTTTGGGATTTGTTCTTTATCCAGAGAAATGCAGCCGACTTACCTTGGGAAAGAAAAGAGAACTGGTTAATGACATTGCCCAATATGGTCCAAAAATGCCACAGAGATTCTTAGCTCATTTAGCCTCAGGGAGCTTCTTGAAATCTAGGCTTGCTAAATTTTCAATGTAGAGCATCCACAAAAGTTAGTTCTCAAAGTCCCTGAGGAATAGCATGGATAATTTTCGATTACTTAATTGTGCATGCTCTTAGACTTTCATTCTCCAATAACATCAATTTAAATTTTCTTCCGTCTCCTTTTAAACAATTGAGTTATTGATATGATAATAAATCTGCTTCATTATATAACAGATTTAGTTTTATCTTTTTTCATCTTTGTCTTTAGAAACATCTCATTTCTTTTTTAAAACGTGATTAGGGAATCTTTTTATACTTAAATGTTGACTTCATTATCCTCAATCGCTGAGGAAATCAAGCTGAAAACTTGTTTCTTGGTTACTGTTTGAAGCAAGGAACACGTACACATCGGTATAATTTTCTGTGGATATTCAAAGATGTTTGTTTTGATAATTTCTCTATTCCTACTATTCTATCTATTTGTTATCTGTGCTACTGTATCACTGACTTAAGAAATAAGCTTTTTGTACAAATCTTTTCTTTGACCGGGATATATCTTTCTACAGGTTGCTCTCAAGAAGCAAACACTGGGAAATATCGCAGACCACATTCTAGATGGAATCTGTAAACCAGCTGGACTCGGTCACAACTACAGGGCCATATCCATTCCAGAAGGTCTAAATAATTTCATTCTTGAGATATTTTCTCAGACGTATAATATACAATTCTGTTTTTAACTTATATTCCTTTAAAGTTGTGACTCTAGAGGTCAAATTAAACTATCTTGCTAATTCCTGTATTTTTCTTTACCTCATTCTCAATTATTCAAGTAAACAAAAATGAGTATTGTAGTGCTTTTCTTTACCTCATTGTCACTATATCCTTTAGAAGCATTCGTAAAGAATAATTTTTATTTCATATTTTTATTTATCATGTATACTTTATTATTATTATTATTATTATTTTATATTAAAATTTTGCATCTTAGTTTACTTATATTATTCTCATTTTTATACAGGATGATGGTCCAATTAATGAAGATGATTCAGGACTGCAGTTGATGAAGACAATGACTCATGAATGATGATTAAAGAAAAATTTTAGTTGCCTTGAACCTTATTTCACAGGTCCTCCCGAAGCTTTTAGGTTCAAAGTCAAATCAGGCAAAGATAAGCATCATTAATGACATCAGTGGCATCGCTAACGCTGGAAGGTAGTACTAAAGATTTTATGTTAGTCAAATTAACTTGATGAATTGAGATAATCCTTTTTTAGGTCAACCATACTGATCTTTAGTTAGTGATAGACCACCCATGAGCAAGGTCTGTAAGTTGAAAGGCAAGAATAGACGTTAAGGGCAGTGAGTGTGAAGAGGCGGTGAGTGTGGAGAGTGTGAGCGAGTTTTTTAAGAATATACACATGGCTGATATTTAGAGGATGGATTTAGTGTCAGTTAGTAAAGGGTAATTAGTATATAGTAAAGAGAGAGAGTGTGAGGTGATTATCAAGTAAATTCTTCATAGGTCATTAAGGGAGGCTCCTCAGCTCCTCGAACTGCTGGGAATCTATCTGTTTGGGTGCTATACTTCTTCATTTGTTATTTCAACCCTTATATTAATACTAATACAGTTCATATCCAAGTGTGTGTTCTCTTGCTTGTTACTTTTGTGTGTATTGCTGTTGGTTTTAGTCAATTTTACAGGAGGCTCCATCAGTTAGGTGAATTGTCTGTGTGGAATTCCCACTTCTAATGTAAATTAATGTTAAGTTTAACTTATAATAGATGCACTGATTTTTCTAATTTAACCTTCTGCAATTGACACTTATTTGTAAGAATTTAATTTCTTACATACTCAATGATTCGTATAAACTTAGGTAACTTTGAAAATGTTTCATTAGCATTTTTGAAGAATTTCTTTTCTGGTAGAAGGTCTTACAGAGGAAAATTTAGAAAGTTCTTGGGGTTATGAAATGAAATGTGTACTAAAGTGTGCTTGCATTATTGCAGGATGACTTTTCTGCTTTGCTCTCAGGAAATCTTGACAAATCTTTTAAGGTTTCAGAATTTGTCTATACTTAGATCATCATTTTAAATACATTTGGAAAGTTACTGTATTGAATATCACACATATATAATCTTGAAAAATCTCTAAAGGTTCGTCTTCTTTATATTACAGAGAGAATGTCGCGTTTGTTATTTCAGATATAATATTTCATGTTGAACTTCTGAAGTGTTGAAGGCTGACCCCATTACTTTTCTAGGAAGGATTAAATAGGTTCCTACCCATATGTTTATTTATTTTTAGCTTAATACAAGATGACAAATAAGTAAATAAGTTAATTTTATTTCTCCATGGACATTGTGTGCTAAGTTTAGCTTATGGTTCTTCAACAGGGGACGGGGGTTAGTTTGGTTCATTGCTGGAGGGACTTTCTAGAGACAAATGTCCTGAGAAGTTAATGGACTGAAGTGAGTTGAAACCTGCACTTTACTAAGCTTTTCTTTTGGCTGAGGTGTTCTGAAAAATGCCACATGCATGGATTGAGGAACCACGGAAGTTTTCTTATTCTGAAGTAAGCGTATGAGATAACTCTTTCATTGGATTTGTATGCTGACTTGATCAATATGAGTTCATTTTGTTTCATGTCGTTGAGCATCTTCCATTTGTATATAATAGATTTTTTTTTTTTTCTTTTGTCAAAAACACAATTAAATATGAAGAGAAACTAAATTCACTTCAATTATTAAGAAAAATCCTATATTGTGTGGGAAGCTTTGCTTTTAAGCTGAAGTGCAGTTCTCTTTCATTTATACTATTATATTCTTCAAAAAAGATTATGAATATCAACAATTTGAGAAAGAAAAATATTGAGACAAATGGATCAATTACTCAACATAACAAACATTGATAAAAGGACATATATCCAATTTTATTTTCTGGCTTCTTTTTTGAAAATTGACCTAATGTATGTTTTCAATAAACCTTCAAAATAAGATAATTATTCTTAAAACTATGATTTAAAAATGTATCTGAATAATGTTACCCACAAGTATTGTACCCCATATGAACATACACTTCTCACATCTGTATTTTTGTTTGTAACTCATTTTCTTTAGAGTTGTGTTCTAGAGTTAAATTAACCCTCTGCAATTCCTGTATTTTTCTTGTGTGTTCTCATTAATGCAAGGAAACAAAAATGTGTATTGCAGTGCTTTTTCTATACCTATTGTCATTGTTT